TGTCGGCGGGAGGGGAAGGGGGTGGGGGGTGGTGGAGTGGGGTATGAGTGGTTATGAACGAATGAATGAAACGCATTTGTCCGTGTTTCACTTCGTCTCGAATCGCGCTCGCAGCAAGCACTTGAGAGGCAGTGTCCCTTCCGCGGCTCGGTACGCTTTCAACTCGTGTTTTTTTTGTCTTGAACAAGACTGTACGACATTCACGTTACATGATTTGACTGATTTTTACGTAGAAAGGGTGACAGCATCATTTTCATTAAAATAAATGATCATTCATGTATTCATAACCGCTGGCCAAATTCAAAAAATTCCCTGGATTTTGGCCCTACGCAGCTTGCGTATTTTGCGTATAGGGAGGATCAGCTCTGGTCCCACCCTAAGTATTTTTCCAGATTTGAATAAAGTTGAACTCTAAACAGTCTGGCCTCAAATCACCAGCACTCATTGCAAATTAATGACTTCCAGATGCTTTGTCAGTGTGAATGCCCCTTCAGGGATAAACCAAATGCAAATGAATACTAAATGGTCAGGTTAATTCTCAAAGGTCGTATTTGCACTTCCATATACCCGGTCTATAAAGACAAGCAGAAACATGTTCTTATAGAACCGTGAAAGAAATTCTCATTGATCCACCAAAACCCTCAAATACACATCCATCACGCACTTCAGAATGTCAAACATTGAGTCATTCGACTTGAAAACCTTCCAGTTCTTTGGTTTTTCTTTTTCTGAATCTTAATGAACCATAAAGTGATTGAGGAGTTATACAGAAAATGGTGCGATTTCAAATATACCAGCGGTGTATCCATGGTGACAGTTTTAGCTGAGCTTAGCATAAGAAAAAGAAAACCACGCACACGCACAAACTCGTGCTCTTGGTCTACAGAAAGAACAAAACAGGCCAAGGAGGATCGAAGGAGGAAGTGGTCCGTAACCACAGTGATACACTCTCATTTCATATCCTTGTTTAGCTGTACAGACTCAAAATGAAAGAAACGAGAGTTGTCCTTATCCAAAAATTCCGCCATTTTGGAAGTCATCTTCCCCTTCACTGTTCCGTCATATGACTGTTAATACCAACCATAACGTGCATCTTTTAAAAATAGCTGTGAGGCAAAGCTCAGCGGAACTCTGGACTCAATGGTTATGTGATTCTACTTCCTCCTTCCTTTCCTGCAGGAGAAGCTTCCAGAAGGAATCCTCCAGAGAGGAAGCAGCTTCACATCCAGGAGCAGGAAGGAAGGCCTCCCATTGGCCGAGAGGGGGGTGACATCCTCCTGCTGAGTGGATAAGTTTAGGAGAGGTGGTTGGGGCCTTAATATGGGTTTACGTCCATATGCTTGTCGAGTTCTGGCAACAAGAAGTGCATCCCTCAAACATCGAGCAAACACTCCCACTCTCCACTTTTGCTTTGTCTTTGGAGGCAATTCCAGTCCGTTCTTGCTTCCACAGTCCACCTTCACCGCTTCCCAGAATGAATCTTTCCTCCCGAACTCCTTGCATTACATTACCGTGCAACTCTTTGCTTTGTCTTTGCGTAGGTCTGTTGCCACGGCAGCTAGGTCTGGTCGACTGGGCATATGCGAGATGCGTTTGGTGGAGCGTGCCGATTTGTTGCGCTTGATGTTTTTGTTGTTCTTATTTACGCAAGCCAATGTTGCGACATGGAAAATGTCCCGCACGCTGTTTTCTGACTGCACTGCGGAGCATTCGATATAAGGTGCAGATATCTGCTTAGCCATAGCTGAACCCTAAAAGAGAAAGAGAGGATTATGAGCTTTGATATGAAACAAAACCAGCAATTAGCAGTAAAATCACAATTAGCAGTCTAATTGTTATGATTACCGCTTGCAATTTCATCAAAATTAAGTTTAGCTTTGTGCTCAGGAAGATTTTACTCTTTATCACTCAGACATTTAATGCATGGATTAGATTAGATTAGTAACCTAAACCATTGCAATGTTGCCGAACTGCCCTTGCTGATGAACGTAATTACTGGTAAAGTAGTAAGATTGGTGTTAGATATCAAGTCAAATCTGAAGTTGAGTGTCTCAGTGGCATCCAACCAAATTGCAAAAGGAGTTTATGAGAACCGCTCACCTGATCATATGACACCGGTGTCTGTCTGTGATTAGACAGCTCCACCAAAGTTGTGAGGTCCGTTCTAAGGTCTGACTTGCATCCGACGAGCAGCATCTTTGTGTTGGGACAGAATTCCTGGATCTCCCCTTTCCACTGTGAGAGAAAGAGACAAAACCAACAGGGAAAGATAAAACCATTTGGCCTTGATCCATCCCTGTCTGAGAGATGACAAAAGACTAGAACAAGTGTTTCCTGTTCCCATTTTCTAAGCATATCACATTCCATCCCATCCCTTTTTTCACAAGAGTATTAATCTTCCTTGCTACAGGTGAGAGACATGCTTCCTCCGAGGATAAAGCCTGCACTGTAATGACTGCTTTTCAGGGTGTGTATCTGTGTGTGCGTCTTCCCAACAATGCTACAGGTGATCTGCATTCCTCTCCTTCCCAAACAAAGCATTTTCTGTGTTGGTGTGGCATAGAATCACCAGAGTTAATCTGGCGGGAGACAGGCGGGTACAACACAGTCATATGATTGTTCACAGGAACACGAACACCCTACATTCCCATGATCCTTTTGTGCTCACCTCTGGCTCCTAGAGGCCTCAAAGTCCCGGAAGACAACACTAGCTTATTCCACCAGGTACCCACATGTAGCCTGACTGTATTTCTGATTCTGCGACCTAGATCTCAACCGTTTTAAGACAAACCACCCGGCTGAACTTCCACTCACATGGTCTAGCTAATGCCAGCATGATACTATCAATCCAGGGGCCCACCCTGTCCAAGTGAACCAGAGCCACAGGCCATTCCAGACACCTGACCCCAGACTGAAAGTCTACAAGAAGATATCCAAGCCTACTGAACAAAGGATGACTTTATTGGAATGCTACAAAGAGTGGGCAAATCACAATGAAGTTGTAGAAGAATTTCTCTGAATCACAGGCAATGCATTTAAAAGTCAATTAGACTGTCAAGAACCAGAAAGGTCAAGCCTACAGTTTGATATCCAAGAAACTTCCAAAATTTTGTGCACCACACCCAATGTATTCTGCCCCCAGATGTCAACTGCTTAGACAATTTTCTTTATTAATTTCCTTTATCAACAGGTGTCTCCGATCATGATTCTCAAGAGGTCATTTTGGAGCCCTAAAATTTGATTGGTTAATGGGAATGTTCTTCAAGACCCCATCCCTAGTCCTAAAATCTGATTGGTTGATGGGAATGTTCTTCAAGACCCCAATCCCAGTCCTAAAATCTGATTGGTTGATGGGAATGTTCTTCAAGACCCCAATCCCAGTCCTAAAATCTGATTGGTTGATGGGAATGTTCTTCAAGACCCCAATCCCAGTCCTAAAATCTGATTGGTTGATAGGAATGTTGTTCAAGACCCCAACTCCAGTCCTAAAATCTGATTGTGTGATAGGAATATAATTCCAGGAACAACAGTGGATGTTAATCTAGGAATATCCTACTTGTTAAGCTCACATTAAGTGTGTCAAATCAATTATTACAGGTTGGAAAAAACGTTCACCTTCTTTAGGACACTGTCCAGGGTCTCTGGTCTGCTGATGTCAAAGCATATGATGACGGCGTCGGAGTCTGGATATGAAAGCGGTCTGACGTTGTCATAATACGGGGAGCCTGTGACACAAAAAGGTGGATTGGTCAGGAAGAACAAAGTTCACTTAAACACAAGCATGCACAAAAAACAAGTCAAGGATAGTGGGACTGTCTGGAGGGCCTTCAATATATTACTTAACCTCATTTAACTTTCACTCAGTGACGCAGTACAGACAGTAATTTGAAAGCATTCATGAATTTTCCAGAACACTTCCAGTTCTTTGTCACTGTTGCAATGCTAAATAATGATTTATAAGTGATTTACACAAGCACAAAATAATTCTTCAAATCCCTTACTCAAATAAAAATACTGATGCTTGCCTTAGTAAACACACTGCTAATAACTAGACCCTTGCCTGATGTAGCATTTCCTTCCTGGCTAAAACTCTGGAGATGTTTTTCTTTGTGAGGACGGTATAGTCCAGGATTTACTCTGACAGAACGAAGCATTCCCGCCCACTGCTAACTCTGCCAGACACGCTATGTACAATCCACACAGGACAAACACATTTATAATGTGCCAGATTCCAGGACCGAGGTGGTGTTTATGAGAGACAGAGAGAGACAGAGGGAAAGGAGGGCTGTTTAGTTTGACAGAATGATAATTCCCAGTGCCAGAAGTTAAGTAGAAAAATGCGAAGTTGAAAACACATGCAGCCACAGGACTTTACAGCTCACAATCCAACCACAGCTACAGGCCAAAAAACAAGAACAACTCGGACAACAACGTTTCACGAGAGGTTTGATAGTTTTTTTTTTTTACAGTTAATCATTTAATCTCTAATTTGTAATGTCAATAAGTAACTACTTCTGTATGTAGATCTAATTATCAAACTTATTTTGAGTTCACAGCGTTTGAATAAAGTTTGTTATTTTAGTGTAGATATTGAAAGGTGATGTATGTTAGTGTAAATATACTTTTGTTATGAAAGGTTATGTGGAAACAATATACAAAAAGTAACAGTTTGTTGTTGTTAGTGTGGTATTCAGCCTCTTCTGAGAGACACACAACAGATGCCCACACACACACACACAAACGCATAGATGAATATACACACTCTCTATGGCAACCCCCACCCCACCACACACAGTTTTCTCTCTAAAGCTTTCATTAAACACATTATTTTGTTTCTCTGTCCAATGCATGCATACTAAACGCATACCCTGCTGTGTGTGTGTGTGTGTGTGTGTGTGTGTGTGTGTGTGTGTGTGTGTGTGTGTGGTTGTACAGTATTTGTGTAAATAATAGCCAACTAGAATGACACACACCACACACACACACTTGTGGAACACCATAGCTATCACAACACACCATAATGTGTGAAGGATACCGACAGCTGATGGATTCCCCGAGTGTTTAAATGCTTCTCTAAAGATGTGGTGACCATGTAAAAGCACACATAAAGAATTCTTTGCCATTGGTGTTTTTGGCTTGGATCCCTCAGTGTCTTCCTAATCTACATAAAAATAAAGCAATAAACAGACAAAAGTAAGTTCTCAGCAAAGTACATTTAACCCCAAAGCTAAAATCCCTTGATGCTAATTCATGCTTTGAAAAATTGCTAGCACACCATTACAAACTTTAAGAAAGTCTTTTCGAACTCTACATCAGTACATGAGTTCCTCCTGAATTTAATTTCCTCCTTGACTAACAAGGTAAGAATAATTTCAGAGAACATAACGGTTCACATGGCGCTTTTTTTCCCTGGCAGCCTACCGCACAATAGCTGCTTTGTGGAGTACGAGAGCAAACCTTTCCTGAAAGGAATGTGAGGCATGCAGGCCCAAATCGTCAAGGTTAGAAATATGATCCAGCCGACAATAGTTGACCAGCTTTGAGGAGTGGGTTTGAGAGAGCCTGTCCCAGCAGGAGCCCATTGAAATGATCCCGGGAACGTTTTGTTTTCGGGGGTCAGCTGATAATGAGGTCTCCCCTTGCTGATAATAGTCAAGGGTTGGATTAAGGAGGTTACATAGCAACGTCGTAGATCAGGACTTTGAAGGGACATGCAATAGCTGAATGATACTAATTTATTTACAAATTAACAGTGAAAAGGATTGTTTTTTAATGTACAAACAAGATTAAGAAGTCATGTATTAGCAAACACTTTACATAGATTAATTTATAATTTTACCTCAAATGCTGAAGATTTCTCTTTATCTTAGCTTTCAAGGCAATGTGAAATAAAAAATTATTATTTATCCTCTTAATAAATGTACCTGGTGTAACTATGCATATTTGTTTTCATCTTTAATCAAAATAAAACTAGATTTGACTTATTGCAAAGAAGAGTGGTACTCACGAGCGTGTGGCGGCACCGGCGCTGACCCAGATCGTGAACGCGCGTACACAAGTAGAGACGAAAATGTGGAATAAAGTCGTTATTTTTGTTTTCTTTGCGCAAAAATGTATTCTCGTAGCTTCGTAACTTTACAGTTGAACCACTGATGTCACACGGACTACTTTGTCGATCATCTTGGTACTTTTCTGGACCTTGAATGTGGTAGTTACCTTGCTGTCTATGGGAGGGTCAGAGAGCCCTCATATTTCATCAAAAATATCTTAAATTGTGTTCCGAAGATGAACGAAGGTCTTACGGGTTTCGAGCAACACAAGGGTGAGTAATTAATGACAGAATTTAAATTTTTGCGTGAACTAACCCTTTAAGCAAAAATATCACGGTTTCACGGTATCACAGTATTGTTGTTACAGCTCTAAATTGTTATTTTTAAATGACTGGGTAAAAAAAATAAAAAATAAAAAAATTCCGCTGAACACAATATATTTTGTTTTTGAGC